CTAGTCCCTTTATTTTTTGCGCTTATAAAGGGCTTCTTCAGTGGTACTCGGACATTGAAGTCATGGTTGCGCAGAACCTGGCGCACAGTTTCCAAACTGCACTTTTTCCCCATTTCATCCTGCACCGGTTGAGTCCGTTTTGGAGCCAATAGTTTAGGAATTGATATCTCGCAAAAAGAGAACCCCAAAAGCGACATTGGCAAGTCGGTATCAAAGATTCGGAGAACGCAAAACACGTCTGGCACAGATACCGCTGCTTAGTAGTAAGCAGTCGTTCGCTCCATAGCTGACAGAGACACAATAGAGGCCAGGGACCTTGATGAGATCACAACAAAAGAAGTCATATGTGATGCATTGAGGAAACAATTGGAACTGACCGATATAGGGTTAGAACATAAAACCCTGAGAACAGCGTACAGGCAAACGCAAATAGCAACTATAGGGCTGCAGGCCGTCAGCGCTCAAAAGGCCCTGAAGGTGGGATTCTTATAAAATGGATGGGTTACCTCGAGATTCCGAGAACGAGTAACCCTCACTAAGTACTTTAAGTGCCTGGAATTTGGCCACTTTGGAAAACAATGCAAGAGCGACCTTGACACATTGAATCTATGCGGAGGAAAAGACCACCAAGCCAGACACTGCCAGCGGAAGCCGCAGTGTATGCTCTGCAAAGGAAGACACAGCGACATAAAGCAGGAAGCGTTAAACGAGGCAGCTCAGGTCCTGCTAAGACAGTCGGTAAGAGAAAACCAGACAGGAGTAGCCCTAATCTGCGAGCCATACAAGCCGATCACTGGATGTGGCTGGGTAGCTAGCAAGTGCGGAATAGCGATAATTCGGTCCCTCCAAACGCCACCAAAGGAAGTCAGCTCGGCCCACAACGTCTTTGCACGGACAAAAATCAATGTATAGTTGCTGCGCACTCCCGGGCTGCGACCTAGGGAAGTTCCAACAGATATCGGAGGATGCCCGTAGCAGGTATCCCCTGAATTCGATGCAAGGATGCTTGAATTTAAATATGTTAAAAGGATCTAATAGTAGCAAAAGTAGCAAGGCTAGCTGCTTTCGAGCTATTTTCGAGGAAACCGACATTAATCTATGGGATACTGCATACAAAGTAGATACAAAGAAAATCTGAAGCTGGGATACTACTATGCATGTAACATCCACCACAGCTCTGGCTACCATTGTGGAAACCTTGTCCCCACAGCACCCGTGCATGGTGGTGGTTTACCACCAGCGTAGAGCAAAACCTATCCAACAGGTCTCTACAGAGGAGAAAAAGAATAGCCCATTGGATGAACGATGCGAATCTGGACCTCGCAGGTCATACAACTGAGGCTGTATTCATCATAAGCTGGAAGGTGATCGAGTATAAAAGTGGAAGTCAACGACGTCACTACAACCTCAAAGGAGTCCATAAAATACCTTGGAATCATACTTGACAAAAGCCTCAGCTTCAGACCGCGTAGACAATGTCAGCCGGAAAGCGTCTATACCACAGGGTACGCTGTATCAGATGCTACCAAATATTGGTGAACCCAAGCCAGGAAAGCGCCGCCTATTATCAAGAGCTGCAGCGTCGGATCTGCTGTACGCGGCGCCAATGTGGACATCAGTAAATGCCAACAGAAAAGCACTACGTAAAAAACTATCTACTGCCTACAAACTGAGCGCGTTGCGAGTGATCTCGAACTTCTCGACACTGTTGGATAAAGCAAGCGTAATCCTGACCGGAATGCTCCCAGTCAATATGCCTTTACAGGTTCAAGCACGAGTATGCCCCAGAGTGCCCAACCTGCCCATCGTGGAAGGAGAATCCAGAACACATGATGTACCATTGTGTAAAGTACAGGGACATAACAATGTCAGTGCCCCCACTAGAGTCCTTGGTGCGGTACATGACGGAATCTCCGTCACACTGGAGAGATGTCTGCAAATTCATCATAGGCATACAGAAGCATCTGAGATTATGCGAAACGGAGCGGCGAGCGACGCAGAGTGCCTAATTAGGCACCGCACCCCCGAGGTGTGTGTGTGTGTGGGTGAATTTAGTACGTATGCATACACACTTGTTTCAACATCAGCATTGTTGAGAGCGAGAAAAGCTATTTCCAGATAAATAACAGTAGCTACAAAATTGATCATATTGAGGCCAAAAAATTGTAACGGTGTTACAACAACAAGAACAGCAGCAAACACCAACATAACAGAATGCGAAGGTAGAAAACGCTGAAAGCGAACGAATAAAAAAACAGGAAAAAAGCAACAACCTTTTGTAAAAAGTATTTTTAAATGCAATTCGTCATAAGCTAACTCCGAAATGCCGTAATGAAATTGAATAACACGCGCCCAAACAAACGTAAGTACTGATGCTTGCATACAAACATACACACAATTAAAGAAGAGAGGAGTAGGTGAGGGCAACACGCACGCTGTCATTGTATTGTGAAGTTTTTGTGTTGTTCATTTTGCTAAGTTTGCACAACGATTTTCAGGCAACGCACCGCCAGATAATAGATAATAGACAATAGATACTGTTATGAAGTTATCAACATTCATATAGTTGATATGCATGTTTCGTCTATGAGAAATAAAAAGCTAAGATTTAAAAATTAAAAACTGAAACGAAATGTTTTTTTAATATACGCTACAAATAAATCAAGATTGCTCCTCTTTCCAAACTCCACTCTTCTCTCGATCGTAGCTTATTTTTTATTTTCACAGCTCTTTAAGAAGGTCAAAAAGCACCCAAGACCAGTTTCATAAAAAAACACCCACTTGATATAAATAAAAAATAAATAACAAGTAATAATAATAATAATACTAGCAAAACAACCCACTCGAACTTAACAGCTTGTGTTTCCATTTGCAATTGGTATTTGTTATGCATTGTGTACGTATCTCATACAAAATACGAAGTAAACACAATATAATAATCTTCAATTTATAATCTCTTAATTAGGATTCAAGCTATTGAACAAAATGTATGTGCAGCATAATGATGCGGGACTGTAGAAAGACTTACTCAAACCAAAGAACAGGCATAGAAAAATAAGAAAAAAATGAACAAACCATTAATATTAATCATACAATACATTTTTGTACAATACATCACAATTCTGCACTGTTCATCTTACACACTGATCGTTCTTTCTGGCAGGTGAAAACAAACTGCATTCAATTTCGCACTGTTTTTCCAGCAGCAGCAGTTTCTGGTAAGAGAATTCATGCATTTTGCGTAAAAACAAATAACTGCAGCCAGAGGTTTACTACATATATAACTTTGAATGTACATGTACAGTCGAAATAGGCAAAACCACTTTTAAACAATTTATATATATATATATATATAATATATAAATTATGTGTGGCGACAGTTCAATACTGAGCTGAGTCCCAAAATCCTAAAGGCAACAATCAAGCACGACGGAGGAAGTGTCATGGTATGGGCATCTATCTCGGAAGCCGGCGTCGGAAATTTGGTGTTTTTTGAAACAACAATGGACAAGAGTGTGTATTTCAATATATTAAAGGAAAATTTACTCCAAAGTGCCGAGAAGCTAGGAATCCGGAGTACTTTCCAGATCTACCACGACAACGACCAGGACAACAGCCAAGCATAAGTCCGGATTAGTACGGTCTTGGCATATCTGGAACTGCCTCCACGTGATAATTCCACAGGCCCAGTCTCCAGATTTAAATGTTATTTAAAATTTGTGGGCTCTGCTCGAAAATAACATCCGGAATCACAGATCCGATCTCAAGAATGCTCTGCTGGATGAGTGGAGCAAAATCAGTCCAGAAACGACCCGGAAGCTGGTATCTTCCATGAATAATAGGTTAACTTTATTAGGGCTAAAGGATATCATACTAAGTATTAACATCCTTATTTAAGTTTTTATACGCCTAATATGTTACTTTTCTAAGACTGTTCCAAAAAAACTTTGACATGTATTTTGGATATATTTTCAGTTTTTGACTAATTTCAGTTAATTAATTAATATTTTAATAAAAACTGAAGTTTCCTTTTCAAACGTGATATAACATAAAACAAATTGGCATTTAAACATTTTGAGTTAGTTTTTTTGTTTAAACCTTATAGCACTTTAAATTTTTTGCTAGGCGCTGTTCCAGTTGAACTGCGAGACACTGTATATGCACATTTTTACAGCCATAATATTTATGATTGTATGTGTATTTATGTGCACATAAATAAAGAGTTGCAAAACGCACGCGAGGCCTATGGATGTAAATATATATGCGTATGCATGTACATATGTATGTATGTATATATGTATGTATGTTCATATGTATGTATGTACACACAAATATGTTTGTGCATACACCCATGCAAGGTGGTGACGCTGCGCACAGAAAAAGCGAGATAGAATGAGAGAGGAAGAGAGAGAGAGAGAGAGAGAGAGAGAGAGAGAGAGAGAGAGAGAGAGAGAGAGAGAGAGAGAGAGAGAGAGAGAGAGAGAGAGAGAGAGAGAGAGAGAGAGAGAGAGCGAGAGAGAGAGAGCGAGAGAGATAGCGAGAGAGGGAGCGAGAGAGAGATAGCGAGGGAGAGAGAGAGTGAGCGAGAGTGAGAGAGAGCGAGAGATAGAGAGAGCGAGAGAGAGAGAGAGAGAAAGCAGACAGTGTGGAGTTCAATTGGAAGAGACAAGGTTACAAACAAGACAACAAAGCAGCTGATGTGGTAGCAATTGGACATGAAGGAAATGCAAAGAATTTTCTCCAATTAGATATATTAGATAGGCGAACTATTATCAATAAATATTAAAAGATTGCGGCCCAAATATATATAGGCGAAAACAAAGCAAAGTATTACAGTCAACAACAACAACAGCAGCTACAACAATGAAGTACCTGCAACTAGAAAGTTTTTTTGGCATACATATGTTCATATTTACATTGACGTAAATCAAGTGCATTCATTTTTACATTTTGTGTAAACAGTGACAGTAATACACACACATATCTGATTCGGCACTTACCGTTAATTTTCTTTCTAATTGGAATTCTGGGCGAAGATGGCGAATATTTAAACGAAAACAACGAGCGAAGCGACGTCGTGTTTTAAATCAAATGCACATCCGAAATCCATGGAAAACTTGTGTTTGGCCAGACGACGATGTGTTTTTATTTTACTTTAATTTCACTTCAAATTTAGATGAGATACTTGTTTTTTGCTGTAAACGTCACTTCTTCTTCGGTTTGCCAGCACGCGCACACACAAGCACACCTTTACATGCACACAACACATACCCACATACACAATGTTCGTGTTTGCCAATTGTTTTGAATTGTTTGGCAGCGTTGCTTTTGATTTGATGCACTTTCATGTGTACCAACGCTTGATGATACGCAAAAAAAAAACAAAACAAAAAACTAAAGTATTCGCAAATCTGTAATATATGTAATTTTCTGGCGTTCGGGTTTTCAATGTTTGCTGAACTTATAAACCGAACATCCAGTGTGGCTGCACTTTTAAAAAACAATGTGACCACAAGCAGCAAAGGAAAGAATGCTGTCAGCTATCGCTGTAGAACCTTAACATTAAAACTGCCCAGCTAACAAAATCCTGTAAAATAAGACAAGGCAGCGTCAGCTAACTTTCGATATCTCTGTTAACGAGTCATGGGATTTTGTGACGTCAAAGTACAAAAGAGCAATATATTGTAGCAATATTTTGAGGAAGCTACGCCTTTATGTGGATTTAAATTGCTAAAATCAAACTATCATCACCATCACTGATCACATCGCTTAAAATATAATTACTCCATGTTCATTAATTAGTTTAATTATAGTAAATATAAATAAACTTATAAAACAGTATTCAAAATAATGTAAAAAAAAGTGCTTGTATTACTAAATAAAATAATAATACTATAATTTACGATATAAATATATTAGTCGTGACAATCGTTCACCATAATCGCATTTAGTGGGTCCAGCCCTGTTAGTTAACATCTGACTGTAACAGTGGCTTAACAGTTACATTAACATTAGCACAAACATTGTAATAATTAAGTGCAAAGGGCAACTTCCAAAGCAGTAACTACAAAAGTTAAGTAATGCCAAGCCGAAACTGTTAAATATTCAATACTTGATTCATAACGTGTATATATTGTTCAAATTCAAAAAGAAACGCCGATCACAACAGCTTACCGATAGCAGAAACTCGACTAAATTTATACACCAGTTGATAGCGTCGCCAGCTGTGCAGTTATAAAAATAAATAAACAAACGAACGGTCCATTTGCCCATTGCATTGTTGGTGAGCAAAGCTTCTCCTCCTGATAATGTCAACGTGCACCTAACTTTTCATTCATCCAGAGTCGCCGCATTGGCCACTTGCGATGCTGTTGTTGTCAACGTCAGCTGTGTCATTTTGAGTGAGACGTGGTGCGCCATAGAGAAAGAGAGAGCGAAAGAGTGTTGAAGACAGAAAGAGAGGAGGTAAGCAATGTAAACGTGCTGCACCTGCTTGCCTGCTTCCTCCCACCACCACCCCACCCTGACTCTTTCCATTTTTCGCTCCATTCTTCCTTCCTTCCTTCCTTCTGCTTCTTCTTCGTCTTGCGATGTGTAATATGTGGAATTATTAAAACCCGCACCTATAGCCATTTTATAAGGTGCGCTCGACTTGCCATTTGTGGCTGCCTTTTGCCATTCGTATAATTAAATCAAATTTTGTGTCTGTGTACACTGGAACTCTTATTGTCACTTTATTTAATGGGCGCAATTTGAAGTAAAAAAAAACAAAACAGAAAACAAAACAACAACAAAAAACAGCACAAAACGCAAAACCGCATTTAAATTTCTCAATTACAATTGCCAACAGCAGGTCGCTTTTTTTGTGAATCCACAAACCCATCGACAACCGTCAGTTGCAATCTGTTTGGGGCAGAAGCATGCGCTTTAATGAACCGGAGTTGGCTAGCTTGGCATCCAATATCACGACCAGATTCGACAAGGAGGGCCTGCTCATCATAACGGAGCGACAGGAGAGCATTTTCCGTCGCAGCGATGGTGAGTGGATGACAAGCAACAGTTCATTCAACTCTTCAATCACACGCACACACACACGATACATTTAGATGATGATTTTTTATTTGCGGGTTCTATCTATAATTTCCGCTTATCACCCACTCACGTACTAAACTCACACTCTTTATTGTACTTACATACATATACTATATACATACATATACATATAGATCAAGTAGATATCACACTCACGATTTGCTTATGCACTTTTTTTTGGTCATCTCTTGGTGCACATATGTCCGCAAAAAAATACAGTTAAGCTAGAATGCTGGTGCAAGCTGCGTGGCAATTTACTCTTCTATCTGAAAGACAAGAATCCAAAGTCATCTGTTGCTGGCGCTGTGGTCCTTCAAGACTGCCAGCCGCGCATCCATAATGATGAGCCCGACTTGGAGGGCTACGTATTCGATTTAGGTAATATATATATATATTTGTATGTGTATATTGTATGTGTGTACTTTATAATAAATGGAGCATTTGTAATTTGAAACAGACTTTAAGGACAGCCCCTCGCAACGCATTGGGACGCACAGTGCAGCGGATCGTCTTGATTGGGTGCGCAGCATTGAGGCGTGCTCTAATGAACAAATCGATCTGCAGATAAAACAGCTGCAGGAACAGATTGCCGCTGCCACAACGACGACAATGGGAAATCGGATTAATCAGGGACTGCCGTTGCCATTGCCATTGCCAATGGCCTCAACGATGCTAACGGATACCTGGCGAGCATCGTCGTCGGCGCCAGCGGTTGAGGCGCCCTTTGAAGGTGATCTTATACAGTTCTAAGGATGCGCTCCCCATTTTGGAAATTGGTTGTTTTTTATTAGCTGATCGCCGACTAACCACGAAAAGAATTCCAAAATCACTTTAACCACGGTTAACGTTAAATTTTAGTTTGTAATCCATACGGATTTGTTTTGTTTTACATGCACAACACGCTTTACACACAAGCACACACACACATACTCACCAAAAAAATTGTTTGCCAACTTTTGGGGTCCCTTATACACGGTTTAAAGGGCAGGTCGCGACTTTAGCCAAATGAAACCAAAGAAACGCCATATGATTTATGCTATGATGACACTTGCTGCAGCTGCTAAATTTAATATTCGAATTAAGTGAAGGCTGTGAAGTGTTTGTTAAGCTCTTAGTCGAGTTTTAACTTCGACAACTTTAAAAGCGCTCAGTAATTAAATTAAAATTGAGTTAAATGTGTTATTGTAACATAATGGTTTGGCTTAATCACGAATTTATACTCTGTAGAAATATTGTATATTTAATTATCCAATAGACTGCTTAAGGTAGTTTTTCAACGTTTGCGAATCTACAAAATTCTAACATTTTCTACACACTTCCCAATCAGCAATATGTATGCTTTATATATAATACTATATAAATTTGTACTTGAATCTAACAGCACAGACAAAAAATGCGGTGTGAAAGAGAGAGAGAAAGAAAAGAGACAGCAGTCAAAATGGGAGAAATGAATTTTATTCAAAGAATAAACTTTATTTGATTTATAACAATGTAATCAATTGATTTGTTCTTATTTTTCGAATCAATTTGTCACTCACACTCGGACACACGCACACACAACAATTTTTCACTGTTACCCTTCGTCTTGCAGATCTAGAGCTCTCTGAGCTGCCCATCTGTGAAACGGCGGTTTCCTGTGATAATCTGCCACTAGACGGCTTCGGGCGTGCTCCAAATCCGCGCGTCATCTGCTCCCTGCTCCAGCCTGGCGAGGATTGCATCTGGCGGCAGCATGCACGCACCGAGCTGCAGGAGCGCACCCGGACACCTCAGTTTCTATGCACCATTCGCTTCCTGCGCAGCGCCGGCTTCAAGGCGGCCACTCGACTCCTCTTCAGTGTGCACGATGTGCGGGAGCGTGTCTCGCACACCTCGCTGCCGCTCGGCCACGCCGAAGTGGCTCTGGGTGTCATTCAGGATGCGACACGATTGCGTCTACCTTTGAGTTCGCCGCGCGGCGAATGCGGCTTCATTACGCTCGCCTCATGGACTCCCGAACCGGCCATCGAGATGTCCCACGCCACTGGATTGGGCAAAACAATGCATGGCCTGACCCAGCCACCGCCACCACGCTCCACCACACAGCTGTTCGAGAACGGAGCAATTAGCAGAAAGGGCGCCAGACAAAAGGGTGAGTTGCATTTACCTAAATCGTTCAGTCGCATCCGGCGAATCTTAAAAAACAATCAGCAAAATACAATACAAAGACAATCAGACTTTATTTTTTTGTTCACCGGAACAGGTTTTAACTAATACTTACATGATGAATATTTTGGAGTATCACATAAAACCGAATTGATTTCAATTCGATAAGTTTAGAGAACCAAAAAAGTTATTCATACTAAAACTCAATGTTTTTCTCAATAAATAACGCAGTCTCAAATCGTCCTGATCAGCCGTTTGCCTATCTGTTGTAATGTGAGGAAACTTGGAACTTGGAACTAACTATTTGTTAGAATTACTATATCAGATAGCTATCAGAAAACTTATGGGTTAAAAATTAAGTTTTTAATTAATAATTTGGTTTACCTAAGCATTGCAAGTTGAAAACTAACAAAATCAAAATTGAAATAAAATTGAGGAAAAAAATAAAAGTTTAAAATTTACAAAATAAATAAGGTACAAATAAAAATAAAAATTGAGAATATAAATAATTAATTAAATTTTTATATTATCTTTGTTGTGTTGACTAATATTTTTTAATATTCAGAGTTCAAATATTCAGAAAATAATTTAGTTGCAATTCGAATATATATATATATATTTCAAAACTTTGTTTAGATTAGTCACGTCAATCAAATCAAATAATTCGACAATAAATGCAATTAAATAATATGAACAACTTTTTTGTTTTTTAAATTTTCTCAAGAAAAAAAGCTATTTCCTATGTAGTGATGAGTGTTATTATGCAACTTGCATTTTGCCCACAAATTATTCCTGCTTGGTAAAAAGAAATGTACTTAGTAATGCTCTCTCTTTCTTTTCATTCTGATTTTAGGTCATCGTCGCACTCAATCGCTGCCATTGAGGCTGGGCGTGCGACTGTTTGTGCCACATCAGTGCGGCGTGGCACGTGTCTGCGCCAATCCCTATCAGCATTCATACCGTCTACAGTCAACACTGGGCGCAGATATAAGTGTGCTGGAGACGCTGCTCGAGTCGCGAACATGTTGTGCGGTGCCGCAGCAGTTGCTCTCGATTTGGATACAGCGGGAGAAGGAGCTGCTGCAGGAGATATCTGGTATGGGTGAGCTGAGTGGCGAGTGGCGATGGCGTCAAATGAATCTGCTCGAGGAGCATTTGCGCCTCCTCAAGGACTATTCACAGGCCAAGCAGAACATACAGCAGCTAATGCGTGATGGCATCTACTACAAGCGTTCCGCTACCAAAACGGATGAGGCTCTCGAATTTCTGCCTGTCAATCTGCACGTGCAGCGCATGTGGGCACAAAATGATGCAATGCAGCGTTGCGGCGTCCTCGACATTATCACGGTTGGCGCTTTTACGCGTCACGATGCCAAGGGACGCAAGTGTGGCGGCCTTATCAAGTGAGTGGCTAATTATATATTATTATAAGTATATATATATATATATATATTTGTATTGTATTATATATATATATAAATATATGTTTTTTTTTTAATATTATTTTACGAATGATTCCAAGTTGAGAAAAGATCGCCCGAACTAACATGTAACCTTCTTGAATATATATGAAAAAGTAGAGAGCACGTGGAAATATAATATTATTTTAATATATATTATTACAAGTTTGTAACACTGCCCACAAATTAGTTAGTACGCAAGTCAATAGACTCAAAGACACCTAAATTGACTTCTGCAGAGGTTGCACAGATAAGGATGAAGATGAATCTTGAAAACACTCAGTAACATAGTAACAAGTTAAGCACCCTGGGAAGTCCTTCTCTAGCCGACCTATCTCAGTTAGCCAATCTAGAACCAATCAAAATTGCAAAATTTCTTAACACATCCAGTTGGACACCCGACTGATCTTAAGTCAGCAAATAGTAGTACTGCAGTTAGCCAATCCTGGCCTAAGTGAGTTGGCTTTATTGGTTAACAGCCGTATAACCTAACCTAACCAGCATATACACATCTGGACCGTAATATAGATGTGAGGACAATATTTTGGTGGCATATATGACTGATTTTTTAGTTGATTTAATATGGAATTATTTACATTTTGGTGACTAACGATTCATTTAGAACTGTTACCAAACAAATTAATCTGATTTTCATCATTCATTAAAATGTTGTCATTTTTATTTTCGCACCCTCTCATTCTCATTCTCTCTCAATAAACCATTGTGAACTTTTTCCCATTTTTAAATTAGTGGTTCTAAGCAAAGGAACCTTACCGGATATCCTATTAACTAACTTTGCACACCCTAATCGCCTTCGCGGAGTTGGCGAGGCTGAAAAAAAATTCCCAATTTCGCTGACTCAAAAGGATCGCTTTTAGCCAATAACACCATACAATTATCGGTTCTGAGACCGTACAATCGATGTATCGATGCAATTGTTATTTTTTCCTTAATCTTAGAGCTTAGACTATATCTTCTATCCTTAGCCCTGTAGTGATGCCCTCGGCCCATTTTATATAATTCGATATCACAGTTAAGCCTTTATTATAATGAATATATTAAAATCTTACCTTTTGCAAGCAAAATCAATAGAGAAATTAAAGTTTTCTTAATTTAATGTAACTCGCACCGATTTCACTGTCTACCTCCATATGCGCTTGCTTAAGTCAGACACAGTAAGAAACAATTTCGCCATATTAACAAATTAATTTAATGCATTTTGGATACGATATTAAAAAATGCACAAATTATTGTCTACACACCTATTTTACTGTCCAGTTGTGTAGGTATCAGAGGTCGCCTTTTTAACGCAAGTATAACAGCTAATATATATGTATATATCACAAATTTATAACCCGATTTTGTGTCGTTTTCGCTCCGATTGGTGTGCAGGCTGCTGCAGGAGAGCAAGTCATGGAAGCTGGAGCAGAGCAACGCATGTAAGGTGCAGGCGGCCAACGATGCCGTCCAGGCGACCAAGCAGCTGCGCAAGGAGATCGTCGAGCTGATGTCGCAACTGCTGCAATTGGCCAGTCGACGCAGCGCACGTGATATGATGCCGCTGTGCAACGAGATGGTGAGCAAAACGCGTACGCTGCTCAACATTTGGGAGCCGAGTATTGTGGAGGAGGCGGTCACATTTCTTGAGCGCCATCGCATCATCGAGGAACCGGACAATGTGCTGATGGAGCCGATGTCGCCATTTCGCAAGATTACCCAGCAGCTAAGCGCCCTGGAGCTCAAGTCACCGCAACTGGAGGATTTTGCGACACCAGTGGTGGCGCCACCGGATCTATGGCCACGCGGCCAGCCGCTAATGCGTTCGAACAGCTGGCATCCGAGCAGTTGCTTATCGCCATCCAGCTCGTTGGACATTAATGCCATTGATACGCTGCAGCATGTCGTCAAATGCTACAATGCGCATCTGCGCAGCCTCGAGCAGCGTGAACCGCTGGTTCCTCGCTGCGGCGGCGAGCCGTCATCTCTGGCCGAGGTCACATATCAATCACTACCACCCAGCTTGCAGGATCGGGTGGAGATGCGTGGATCGCAGCCACCAGCCGGATTTCTCGATACTAAGTTGATGAGCTCCTCGCCATCGGCAAACTACTACAGGCCCACGGAGGAACCAGAGCCGCTCGATCTCACCCAGCTAAACATTGAGGCAAGCGTAATGTGCCTAGTCAGCAAGCTGAAATTCTTTTGCGGTCGCTGCGACAGTCCCGCCATACGGCTGCGGCATCCCAGGGAGCCACTTAAACGCGAGGGCTTCACAGTGGCGCCCCAGCAGACGCCCGATGTGATTACTGCTGCGCCTCCATTACTCTCGGCCGGGCAGACGACACAGCAACGGAAACTGGATCTCGCAATGCCTGCGGCAGCATCAGCAGCGGCGCCTGCACCCAAAAAGGGCAACAAGTTCACCGACGGACTGGATCTATCGTTGACCACCGACTGGGTGGGTGAGCTACGTCCCAGCATGCGCAAGCTACGCCAAGCCATGGATCGTCTATTGAAAACGGCACGACTGATGCACTCCGTGCAGCGGCTGCAGCAGGATGTGCGCTGCAATCGCCTCCAGGCGACCATCACCTATCGCCGGGATGTGTGCTTCTCGCAGGCGGTAAGATATCCAGGCTGAGACATAGTTTTCAATTATTCTAAAATTCGACCTTATAGCTACCCTCTACAAATTACCAACAACTAAAGTGTGTGAAACACGATAAAAGCAGGCCTTTATTTGATTGAAAATGCATAAACCTAAATACATATGTTACTTACCTAATGCAGCCCCATGTAAGGCAACCGCTATATACCTCCTCTGTGATCTCTAAAAATAGAGTGACTGTATGCAGGCCACTTCAATTTTCTAACCATGAGAAAGCTGCTTGAGTTCGCTACCTGCTTAGGGCGTCGCATATTCATACTTAGTAATACAAGTAATTGTATATTACTGCATATTAACACGCATAACTGTTGAGTTTGGTTAGAACAACTTGACAAACAAAAAGTTGTTTCATACAAGAACTAATCTCTCAACCGAGTGTTCTAGTGGTAATGATATAGCGACTTAAAAAGTATTATTCGTTATTGTAAAACAAGAAAAATACGATTAATGAGGACAACATTGATATGCGGACAGACATGACCTTATCAAGATTATATGTATGCAGATACATAAATATTTTATGAGCTTTGAGTGGACTTCTTAAATGCAAGATGCCACCCTCTGAAAGGATACATCTACGAACGACGTGTTAATTGATTACTAAATTAACTCACTCTCTATCTCTCTCTCTTTCTCTCTGCTTCACTTGGCAAAGTTGACGTCTTTGGTCAGCGCCCTGATGCTCCGCCTGTGGGGCAGCGAGATGGATGACGCCTATTTGTCGTTGCTGCGCGAACTCGGTCCGCTGGCGTACTTTGAGGGTCTGCTGTCGCTATATGGCACCGAGATTGACATGTGGAGCGATATGTGCATTGCCATTGAGGATTTGTCATCGGTTGGGTTTACACTGGTGTCGTCGTCCGGCGAGACAGCGCCCATGCCGCGCATAACGGGTTCGAGGCAGGCGCTGGAGGTGATGCTGCCCACGCCGCAGCATGTGCTGGCCAGCGCTGGCTGTCTGGCTATTAACTTTAAGATCACGCCCGTATTCTTTAATATTGGCATCAACGAGAAGGCGACGCTGGGTCAAACGCACGAGCAGCATCGCTCCAATTTGGACAATTATTTGCGGATCAGCCAGTACTTTAGTCGCTATCGCAAGCTGGGCATGAATGCGACAGCCTCGGCGGATGCCAGCTACGGTGATTATGAGTTGCAATCGCTGCTCAGCTATATGGAGCAGCAGCTGCGCGCGAATGTGTCCAAGAACGTGAGAATTCTGCATCTGGCCGAAGATGCGTGCCGACTGATGGGTGGCCTGCGCTTCACGTCCTGCAAGAGTGCCAAGGATCGCACAGGCATGGCTGTCACCCTGGAACAATGCCGTGTCCTAGTTCGCGAATTTCATCTGCCTGCTAAAAATGTGCCTTATGCGCTCAGCACCATGCGCAGGTTTGTTTTGCAATCCTTAAACCTGAACTTGCTCCCCAACTCCTAACTGTTCGTGTTTTTTTGGTTTCAGCGAGGGCACTCGCATGGATAATGTGTTTAAGAATATTGGCAAGCACAAATACGCTTTCAATTTGCCTCAGGTTATAATGCTGCCGGCCATGTATAGGCCACCAGTGGGCGCCTATGGTAAAGCCCAGACCTAGGCCCAAAAGATTTGAACCTCCAGTTACAAATTTGTTTTAGGCTAAGTGACGAATACTTATGAGAAACATATATATAAATATATATGTAGTATATATAGTATATACAAAACAGTGCCAAAAATCAAAGAAACAAAGCAACACAAGTCAACCACATCAATACAAATACAAAATCCTAATAATCAAAATCAAAGTAAATCATCACACATTCAAATGAATGAGCTAAAGATTGAATACGAATACCAAAGGATTTTTTAACACATCAAACGATTCCATGGATAACAAATTGCTAGCTTTCTTCTATTCATGTATGTATTTATTTAAACTATTATATAATTCATACACACGGTATACTCGGGTATTTTATTCTTTGTCGAGGAGCTCAACCTCTACTTTATTGGTTCAATTCCACGTACTTCCAGAGTTAAGACCGTTAAGCAACTTACCAAATTACAACAAAACAAAAAGAGAGAAGAATGACTATTATACTATTATTTAATAGTCCTGTACACGCCCGGTGCCCAGTTGACGTTTGCGCAGTTCTGTTTTGAGCCACGAGGGCACATCGCGCAAGGGATGGGCATTGGGGAAGCGTAGCGGCGCCTGCGCTCCGTGGAACGGATGCGTTTTGGCTAACTTGCGCTGTAGATACTCCTTGTTGACCTGTTTGGCATCGCGATGCTTGTCCATATACAGATTGAACGGCTGCTTGAGCGGAAAGAATTTCTGATCCGCCAAATACGGGCTCGGGAAGTAGTACTCAAACACCGGCTCCTTGATCTCTGCAAGAGTCGAACGCATATTTAGCATGCATAGTGTATGTCATATGGTATTAAAAAAAAACATTACTCACGCAACACATGATGATAAAATTGTGTGAGAGACTCGTCCCAGTTGGTTTGATAGAAGGCCAGTCCCGCTGGTGTCAGGTTATCCTGATGATGCCGATAGAAGTCCAGTGTTCTAAAGGTACGCTTCTCTAGATTGCTGTAGTCCTTGGCATCCAACTTGTACTCAGTCATATCAAGGCGAGACCACTGTTTATACAGCACAAAGACCATCCGCTGATAACCCAAACCTCTGGGCGGAAACGGTGGCAGATAGTCGGCCAGCACTTCTCCATCGCTGATCTTCCCATTGGGTATATTGGCGCTAATTTGTGTGTTCATTATTAGAGTGAAGATGGAGCAAATTAAGGACTTACATGAACCAATGCAGGCACTCGGCTGCATGATTTGTGTAGTGTGCATCGGGATTGGTGGCCAGCAGGGTCCAGTAGCTGTCGCCCTGTGATGTCTTCCCAGTAATGGGATCCATTTGGCCATCGAAACTGATCATAGGCACTTTGGCCGCCTCTGCGGGCTTAATCACATTACCATTGTGGACGGGACTGATGGTATTCGCGTCCAGCTCATAATGTATGCTTAGCGGGACACGGGGCACAAAGTAGGCGCTACAAAACAGATGCTCAAAGATGCCATAATGATCCGCCAGCAGGCGAAGATCATGTTGACCCGTTGTCTGCACATATGAATCCTGCACCTTGTCCAAATCGATGAGCACTACGTAAAGAGCAACCATCAAAATCTTGTGAAATTTGCCTAAGTACTTACACTAAGCAGACAATACATAAGAGGCGTCAATTCGACAAAAAAGTGAATCAGGTTTTTTTGTGAGCTTCTCGGCCCAGATGGCCTCGCGTGTCGAGCAGCGAACACACGAAGGTCATTTTTTAATTTGACTTCGCTGCGACAACATTGCGGGTAAAAAAAAAACCAGCCTTTTATAAGCATGCGTGCATGGCTGCGAACAGGTACGCACCTTTTCTAGCAGGCCTTTATTAGTTATGAATGCGTGCTACCGGATCTCGCAGACCCTTGAATGTGTGCGAAGATGACAGCAATATTCTATTCTTGTCGTTTTGTGTGCGAGTTGCACTCGATTTTAAATTTTTTAGTTTTTGGGCCTGATGTGGCGTAAAGTGGGGTGGTTTAACTGTTGACCAACTTTGTACCCACAGCCCGCAAAATATATGGTGCAAATCTAAAACAGGGTACCATTGTCTCGAAATATGAAGTTCATTGTTTCTCGACGAGCACACATACAAATACGCATACATGCAAAGGTAGGTTTCAACGGGATCATGTCACAGTGCGCGGACGGCTGTTCGAACAAGCAATTTCGGATGTCGAGACAATGATACACCTTTTTAGATTTCCACTGGGCAATGTTGTTAGAAAACAGATTTATAGTTGATTGGATTAGATTTGTTTTCTGACTGTCGACTATTTAACTTTTTATTAACGCATATTAAGAATTCATCTGAAAGAACCTACTTTCAAATTTGTTAAGCTAAAGTTGCCATTCTTAGGCCTGCTCAGTGGTACTTATGATAATGGACGATAATTTGTTTCTTTTATGAATCCGATCATTATTATAATGAATAAAGTTATTTTTACTTTCGTCAATAAAGTGTCATTAAGATTATTACTGATGTTTGCTAAGTATTGAACGCAGCATGAAATTGTTTTAAGAATTATGTGCCTCATGTGAAATAATCTGCTGTAATACAATTACACAAATGTTGATAGACAAAAAAAATATATAAATAAAATTTGTTTAAAACGTACGCAAACAATAATTTTTCGAACTTTGGATTAAAATATAGCTGTCAACAGATCTGGTTCTAGGGAATACAATCTTTGGCGTGCCTAAGATATCTCCTTTTCTTTGTTTTTTATTTTTTTTGTATTGAGAGAGAAAATAATAATAGACTTTCACTGAAATGTCACATGATGAGTTAATGTGTGTAAACTTTGCGGTCTACTAAGATATGCCGAGCAAATTAACTAGCTTTGAGTGATATTATCACCATCGGAGTGCAATATCGGAACTATGTTGTCTACAAGGGTACGTAATATGTGCCGGGTCCTATATAGAGATCTTATATGCAAGCTACTCACAGTTGTTGCTTCGCGCCAGCTGCTCCAGCTCCTTGCTGACACGCTGTGCTCGCAGGTGATCGAGGCGCGCCTTTAACTGAGCCGAACGCGATGCTTTCAGCTGCGGAAAGCCAATGTTGATGCGTGCCTTCAGTTCGGGATCGCTGACGTTCTCATCTGTTAACAAATTTCTACTTACTAACAGTTGGTTACATCAACTGGGAAACTCACCTCGCAAACGCTGCTCGAGCGTTCGTGCCACACCGGGCGGCTTGCCACGCAGCGTGTGTCCGTTGCGCGTGCTGGCATTGAACATCAATAGCACCGTGAATTGTGTGACACGCAAACCGCCACCTATGCTTCTTTTCATTAATAAATTACTAAAAGACATTGTGTTTTATAAAGCGGCCTCGCGTTTTTAACAATCGCCCAGCTGATGGCAGTCGGTGGTCAATAGTCGCCAGTCAATAGACAGAGCTGCTAATATTCAGTGTTGAGCAGTGCCTGTGTTAGTGTTCGCTACTTAATACAGCGGTCTGGCAACCTTGACAGATTTAAACTTGCTCTTTCAAATGGTTATGGTTTCGCTCTTATGGCGATCGCACAAATGCAAATTATTCCATTTAGCCGAGTAAGCACTCAAATATTAGATGCTCCTTACCATTTCCGGTTTCATTACAGCGTTGTGTGTACATTTGTGTTGTAATTCAATCTAATGTGGGCTAACTCAACGAAATTGCATTAGTCAATGCTTGTTCCTGCAAAAGCATTAATATTATTTGTTTGATAGGACAAAGTATCTGCTTTGACAAAAAGAGTATGCCACTAATTAGCTTAATGGATCAAGATAGACATCTGCATCGATTCGTAATACGCATGTAATTTAATATAAAATACAGAATACGAATACTTAACACAATATTTCGCAACTTTAATGTACACACAGTTTTATCAGTTCAACCGCATATCCAGTGTTAACAGGAAAAAAGCACACTGCTTACGAGTGCCGGTGACGAGCCTCCTACACACACACACGCCCACATCGGTAAATGCTTACATAGAAATGTATGTATTTTTTGTATGCATGTATGTACGTTTGTATGTATGTATGTAGATTAGTAAGCACTGTTATACGGATACAGTCATAGTAAACCAGTTTGCATGCGCGCCATATAACAGTTGGCGCTGTGGCTGCCGCTGTCGCTGCCACTGTTAGCGCAGCGATGGTTGTTGCGTCGGCGCTGGAAAAGGACAAACTCAAGGGCAATTCACTGCTGAAGCTAAATAAAGGCGCGTCAGGAGTGCCGCAATGGCTGAATATAAAGTCAAAGCGAATATCTTAAGCTGTTGCCACATGTACACATAAGTAAGTAAGTAAATAAGAGTGTAAGATTCGTAAATATATAGCTAATCAAGGGTCATTGGGCCGCAAATCATTGTCAGTTTTGAATACCAGAAATTAGACATTTGTGCGCTGCCCACGCCGCAAAGCCGCCAAACCTCATTCTCTCCAAAAGTCACTCAAACCGCTCTCAGCGCTCTCGCTCGCTTTGTTGTTTATGGCTATTTGAGGTTATGTTCACGCTCGTTAATATTTAAACATTTCCTTGTGCTCCTGCATTGAATCTATTGTAGTTTTATTGCCATAACAAAGAGTCAATGTCATTTCAACTATCTGGGGTAATTGTTGCTGTTTGATTTTTATAGGATATATTATTGTCTGCATACTCCTAGGTGTTTATTACGTTTATTCAATTTTTTTCCAGTGCGCGCGCACTTCCGCAGGATTCCCTTCAAGCCGGCGAAGCTTCTGTTCTTTGTGTCCAGTGTTGCTAGTTGCGTTTCTCACACTCACAAAATATAAATTTACAGTATTCACGCCATAAGATATAATATTTCTACGTAAACTACCCATGGGAACTATAAAAAAAGAATCTGAAATAAATTTGAGCGAATGACAAAAGGAAAACGTTCATATTATTCTCTGTTATATTTTGTATATTTCTCTATTTGCAAGTTGGCAACTCTGCTGCTGTTGAAAATGGTCTGAGTGCAGAATCAGCGAGTTTTGTTTGGAATGCAGCAGATATTGGTTATGCACGATATCATTAAGTTAAACCCCTTCTTTGTATAATTAGGACCCCAAGTTATATGCAAATTATATGCAAATGTGTGTTTGAAATACACTATAAATATTTAAATTTCCCGTGCACCGCCTTCAAAAGTAGACTTGGTTGCTAGTAATTGATAAGCATTGCGTCCGGGACACTTGAACGTGTCCCGATTTGAGTAATCACTCGGCGTACATTGTATAGAATCGATCGTAATATATAACTCATCAAGTAGTCTATATACAGTGTCTTACAGTTCATTTCGGGCAGTGTCTAGCAAAAATGTTAATTGCATGGCCTAAACTAATTATACAATATTTTTCAAAAATTCCAAAGACCGATGGCAGGTACATATATTAACCACCTAAATGACTACATGACCCCTATAAACTAGGGTTTCCCCACTTGCTAGGTCAGGTTATGTAAAAAAGTACCTTAATTTATGGTCACACATTATTTGGAACATGGGCGTTATGGACACCTGGGTGCCATAAAACCCGGATTTTTTACGTCAGGTTGATTATTCTCGGTATAAATAGACCTATCCTTCGTAGTCAGTATATTTATATCCTGCATCTCGGGTGCCACCAGCCAACAAGGACTATGGACAAACGGATTACCATTGAGCAACGGAATCTCATCCTGGAACACTTCAAGATTGGATATTCATATCGCCAAATAGCTAAAATGGTAAATCTGAGTACCACAACTGTATTCAATATCATTCGGCGCTTCGTCGACGAAAATCGGATAGAGGACAAGGTCAGAAATGCACCAAACAAGATTTTCACCGAACAGGAGGAGCGGAGGATCATCAGGAAAATAAGGGAAAATCCCAAGCTATCGGCTCCAAAACTGACTCAACAAGTGCAGGATGAAATGGGGAAAAAGTGCAGTGTGGAAACTGTGCGCCGAGTTCTGCGCAACCATGACTTTAATGCCCGAGTACCACGGAAGAAGCCCTTTATAAGCGCAAAAAATAAAGGGACTAGGATGGCATTCGTCAAAACCCACTTGGACAAGGATTTGGAGTTCTGGAACACATTCATATTTGAAGATGAGCCCAAATTAAACATTTTTGGCTCAGACGGACAAAATTATGTGTGGCGACAGTCCAATACTGAGCTGAGTCCCAAAATCCTAAAGGCAACAGTCAAGCACGACGGAGGAAGTGTCATGGTATGGACATCTATCTCGGAAGCCGGCGTCGGAAATTTGGTGTTTTTTGAAACAACAATGGACAAGAATGTGTATCTAAATATATTAAAGGAAAATGTACTCCAAAGTGCCGAGAAGCTAGGAATCCGGCGTACTTTCCGGTTCTACCACGACAACGACCAGGACAACAACCAACCATAAGTACAGTACAGGATTAGTACAGTCCTGGCATATCTGGAACTGCCCCCACATGATAATTCCGCAGGCCCAGTCTCCAGACTTAAATGTTATTTAAAATTTGTGGGCTCTGCTGGAAAATAACATCAGGAATCACAGATCCGATCTCAAAAATACTCTGCTGGATGAGTGGAGCAAAATCAGTCCAGAAACGACCCGGAAGCTGGTATCTTCCATGAATAATAGGTTAAGGGAAGTTATTAAGGCTAAAGGATATCATACTAAGTATTAACATCCTATTTAAGTTTTTATACGCCTAACATGTTACTTTTCTAAGACTGTTCCAAAAAAACTTAGACATGTATTTTGGACATGTTTTCAGTTTTTGACCAATTTTAGTTAATTAATTAATATTTTTATAAAAACTGAAGTTTCCTTTTCAAACGTGATATAACATAAGACAAATTGGCATTTAAACATTTTGCGTTTGTTGTTTTGTTTAAACTTTATAGCACTTTAAATATTTTGCTAGGCGCTGTTCCAGTTGAACTGTGAGACACTGTATACACTATACATACACTCAAGTATGTTGAACTAATCTAGATACCTGACACCCCCTGAAAGAGATCAAAGTATTTGTTTTTTTTATTTGCAGGCCTCTCATTGAGGGCTCGCTTAATAGGTACAACATCAACTGGTGATTATCGCTTTACTTTGAGCATGAATTATTTTGCCAGGCTGTTTGTGCCATCGCTCTAAAAGGTTCCTGACCGTCCTTATCAATACACATGTGCCCTCCACTTTTACTTTCCAATTGCAATACGATTACATCAAATTGCATTTACCTTGGGGTCTGATCTCGATGTGTTTACAAGTAGTTTATTATAATATATGTATCATATATATTAATATATATAGCATATATATATATTATAATAAACTACTTGTATCATATATGATATATATCATTTTGAATTGTATAACGAAATAAGCGACATAGTTATTAAAAAAAAAATATTTGTAAATGATTAGTAACAATTTATTCTTTAAAACTATACAATGAAAACTATTATAAATTATTTACGATCAATATCATTTAATTATCCATTATCAATATCTAAAATTTGACTTCAAAATTTTCCACGACATTATTCTGAATGCAAAAGATCAACTCGAAAATCGCAAATTTGAACATTTGTATAATAATAATAATTTCTCGACTTTGTAGATCCATTATCTAATTATCTAATGTACTTCTTACTTCGTTAGTTTCTAGTAAGTTGTATTTATTGACGTATTTTAATATCTGCTTATCATAAAAATATATTGTGATATATATTTATGTGTTCATATTTTTAATGACACATTTCGCTTGACAGGAAACCACTTGACCCACCCATTCAGCACCACTTGCAGCAGCGCCCATTCTGAAAATTCGCATACCCATTCCCTGATCGTATTGTTTATATGGCCAGCCATAAAAATGTTTTAATTATTGTTTGTAATCATAAACAAGATTGCGCTTGAAGCAGTTGATTTTGTATATGTTGTTGGGAATATTTCACGTATGGGATTTTGAATAGGTCTGGGGGTCTGTACATCTGTGATCTTTGCATTTGACACTTTTGTGTCTGATTCGTCTTCCGACGTGACCATATCAGTATGTGTATGTATGCATATACATGTGAGGATGTATGTTTGTAGTTCGCTGAGATGACAATTCTCTCGTCGTGCGTTTCGTGTCACACATGCTGGCACTGTGGTCATCGTAGTCACCGGTTACGAGCAGTTACGTTGTTCATAAACTTTGCCTTTGTGTATTCACATATTGCGCAGTTCTTAACGGCAAAAATTGCCACTCAACAAATCGTATTCACGATAACCGTTTGCTGCAATTGCATTCCCAAACAATCAATGAGTCGTATATACATACATGCATACACACTCATTGCATTCTGGGCGAAAAACACCGTGCAAACGGAGTCGAATTTTCATAATTTTAATTTTTAACTAACCTA